AAACATTGAACTTTGAAAAAATTAGAGGCAAAACAGAAAAAGAGGGAGATTTTGAAACAGAAAACTTTGGGAGATTTTGAAATCGCTTCTTGCATAGCTGGTATAATCCATATGATATGAATTACTGGTTTGAATTAGAATGTTTTCCTTATCCGAGATGGTTACAAATAGCAACTTTTTTTTTTTTTTAAATTATTTCTTTTTTTCTTTTTCTTAAGTTATTGTTGGTATATGGGGGGGGATTGGAGGGGAAGGGGGGGGGATGTGAAACTTGTCCATCAGTGGCCCCGGCGCTGGCGGCTGCCGCGGGAAATCGCACGTGTGACAAAGGCGGCCGCTGGAGTGTGGTGGCCGCTGTGAATAGAGGGAGGGAAGGCAATTAGTTGCCGTGTTGTCGGGGCTTTTTACTTGTCAAACTGGAGCCGCCGTCGCTTTTGTTAGCGCCGTGTAAAGGGAAATCGCGGGGTTTTGTTTTGGTATTAAGGGCCTTAAGGATCGCTGGCTGACACTTTGCACGCCAAGGCCAGAGCGGTGCGGGGAGAGGGGACGGGGAGAGGGGACGCTCTGCTCGGGCAGACACAAAACGCACTGATTCTTTTCCCCCCCTACTTCCTTCATTTATTTTTTTTTAATTTATTTTCTTTCCTGGGTGCCAGTTGCAGTTTGGTTTGTTTTTTTTCAGATTAAACTGCCACTTAAAAAAGCAAACCTGGAACCACTCAAGGTCTCCCTGGTTGTAACAGTTTCCATTTTTTCCCCCCGATATTTATTTAATCCTCTTGTTTCGTTCTTTGGGGGGCCGAGGGGAGGGGAAGGGGGGGGTGAACTCCCTCCAGTGAGTCACCCAGGTGTGCGCAGGGAGCACAAGTGTGTGCAACTGGTCCCCTTTGGTGCTTCATCTGTCCATCCCGCATGGCCATCCCTCTCCCTGCCCGCAGCATCCGCCGGCGTTAACAAACTCGCTTGGGGAAAAAAGTGAGGGAGGGGAAGGAAGGAAGAAGGTGGCCCACGGTTTCCTAATTATTCCCCGTTAAACCAGCCTTCGTGGCTTTTGCCCCTGTTGCAGAGTAACTACTTGGCAACTTTAGGGAAAGGGATAAATAAGAGATGAGAAACGGGCTCTCGGAGAAGTCGGACGCTGCGCTTTGCCCTCGGTTCCCGGCTGGGCTGTAGGAAGCGGGCGTCTCGGGGGCGAGGGCGAGGGGCAGGGGAGAAGGCTTCATCCTTGCTGAGTTCAGGGATGCTCTCTGGGTACCCCTGTTTATTCTCACTCAGGAGCAGCTTGGGAAAACACAATAGGCAGGGCACCGTACCGGTAGCCATCTCGAAGCATCACTTTTACAGCGGGGTCAGCGGTTTACAGAAATATTAAATGCTGAAGAGGGGTGGGGGGGAGAGAGACACCAGAGCTAATGGTAAAGGTCTGCCAAATGTCACCTCGGTGTTACAATGACAAGAAAATATACTTTCCTTACAGCTCTCCCCCTAAGAAATTTGTTCTGAGGGATTTGACAATCTTGCAGATAAAGTGACTGCTGGCTACACTTAACTGATCATGCTCCCTCACGGCCGGCCGGCGGTTCCTCGCTGCACTTACTAATACCTGGGCAACCTGGGCTGTAGTAGCATTGTCATTGATTTCCAAGGTAACTGCTTTTTAGCTCTTCTGAGCAGACATACCTGCGTAGAGGGGGGGGAAAAAGTCCTTTCCCCGTTCCCTGGAAGGATGATGGTGAAGTGCTGTATAGGAAAAGAAAAGAGGCTTCTCTAAATTTTGATAACCGCAGCCGACAATTTAGAAATAAGACACTTCTCACAGCCAACATGACAGTGGATTTGGAGCATTCAGAAAACACCAGGCCAAAAAACTGGAGACATCTTGATCTTTTAAGACAGCTTTTCCAGTACTTTAAGTGAAGG